GAGCTCAAGGCCAGCCTGAACTGCATAGCAAGACCCTGTCTCAAAAAGACAAAAAAAAAAAGACTAATGGAGAGATTTAGCTTTTGCAATACGACCCTTCCACTTCAGAGTTCTGCTTCGCCTTTCTAGCTAATGGTTTCACCCACTCAGCATTCTTGCATGAATCCTTTATTTCATTAAAGGTTGCAAAAGTGTTAATTTTCTAACTCTACTAAACCTTTCACATTTATTAGATGGAAATCTGTAAAAGGGGGTTTGCTCTTATCAACTCAGGTTAATTGGTTATCCTGATGTGGTTACAATTAACGCAGGAAAGGCAGGCTAATCCTTCCCCTCTGTTCCCTGATTTCCCAAGTAAGGGATCGGTGCCCTATTTTCTTCTAATAATCAATGTGTTTTATTTCTTTGCTGGAGGAAGACAGTGAACCCTCTCTCCACAATCCATCATCATACACTTCTGAGTTTTTACATTTTATTATCTTTCAATCACCCCATTTCTCATTTTCTCTAATGCTCAAGTTATCCCATCTTTGGCTGTTGGGAGCCCCTTTGTGTGGGTACTGAGGTCCCTTAGTTAGGGCCCCGTTCTCTTTGCTTTCTTTTATCAGCTGGTTTTTTTGAGGGGGGGTACCGGGAATCGAACTCAGGACCTTGCCCTTGCCAGGCAGGCACTTGTGCCGCTGAGCTACATCCCCGGCCCTATCAGCTGTCTCAGACTCATTTTGGACATTCCTGTCCCAGACCTAATAACGCCCATTCTTCTAAGGAATTTTGGTTCCTTTGGGTAGGGAATGAGTACGTCTAACCTCTCTATCTTCTGTCATTTTTTATTCATTCTAGAGAGGATTACGGCAGCCTACTGGGTGACCAAGGTATAGACGCTGCCTTCAGAAGCAGACTGCATAACAGGGCAGCACGTAACCAAATTAGCGATCAAAACACACACTGGTAAGTGCTACAGGATGTACGAGCAAAGGACGCTAGGGAAGGGTCCCTCCTAACTTAGCTGTGAGGAGCTTACAAAGGAGTTTTAAAGAAAAACTACGGTTTAATGGGTTGAAGTTATTTGGTAAGAAGGAAAAGAGAGTGAGATTCTAGAAAACCGGCCATCGTGTTGGCCCAGAAAGAAGAGAAAAGGGAAATTGAGCAAACGGTGGGAACTTCATTCAGAGCAGGGGGCCGGGGATATAGCTCAGCGGCACAAGCGCCTGCCTGGCAAGCGCAAGGTCCTGAGTTCGATTCCCGGTACCCCGCCCCCCCCAAAAAAAAATCATCCAGAGCAGGACGCAGGGCAGGACGCAGGGCAGGAGTGGGCGGGGGAAGCACAAGAACAGCAGACAGAAAAATAAAAAAATAGACATCGGGAGCCTCTGTGTGCGCCATTAGACGTTTACACTTCTACACTTGTTCCCAAGGGCCATGGGAGCCATTCTGAGGCTTTCTGGGAATCGCATTTGTGCTGTGGAAAGCGCTCTCTGTGGTCACGCAGCCTGCGCTAGAGAGGGGCCAGAAGGAGGCTGAGCGGCCCGCGAGCAAAGCCCTGGAAGAGGGTAGAACAAAGAGAATTAATGGGACTTGAGCAAGCACAGTGGAAAGCGGGTATTATCCGGAGGTAGTAACAGGGCATTAAAAAATCATGGGGTGAGCGGCTGGAGGCAGGTGATGCTGCAGCAGGGACAGCAGGTGAGGGTGACATCCAGGACTCTAGCTTAGGGTACCTGAAGATAAAGACATCGCTCCCAGGGGCTGGGGATTTAGCTCAGCGGCAAAAAGCGCCTGCCTGGCAAGCGCAAGGTCGTGAGTTCGGTTCCCGGTACCGGAGAAAAACCAAAAAA